ATGCATGGAGTGTGGAAAGTCCTTCACCCAACGTGGTCATCTTACTTACCATAATAGGATGCACACAGGGGAGAAGCCATTTAAATGCATGGAATGTGGAAAGACCTTTGCTTCCAGCAGCCATCTTACTTCTCATAGAAGGACCCACACAGGGGAAAAGTCATATAAATGTATGGAGTGTGGAAAGGGCTTCAGCCAACAAAGTAGTCTTACTTCCCATAAAAGGGTCCACACAGGAGAAAAGCCATATAAATGCATGGAGTGTGGAAAGACCTTTACTTATAGCAGTCAACTTGCTCCTCATAAAAGGATGCACACAGGGGAGAAGCCATACAAATGTTTGGGTTGTGGAAAGGGCTTTAGACAATACAGTCATCTTACTTCCCATAGAAAGATCCATACAAGGGAGAAGCCATATAAATGCATGGAGTATGGAAATACCTTTCATTACAACAGTTATCTTACTTCCCATAGAAGGATCCACACGGGGGAGTAGTTATATAAAGGTAGAGCACATGCAAGACCTTTACTTACAGGAATCAACTTGCTGGTAATAAAAGGATCTATACAGGGGAAAAGCCATACAAATCCTTGGGAGTGCAGAAAGGGTTCCAGCCAAACTAATAATCTTACTTCCCTTAAGAAGATCCATACAAGAGAGAAGCCATGTAAGTGCATGGACTGTGGAGAGAGAGCTACAGGAGGAGGAATCATGTAATTTCCCCTACAGAGATACATTTGGGTGAGAATCTGTTAATTCTAGATTTAATTAGTTAAATCCATGGATTTTCTTTTCAGAAGTGAGTTTCCAGCTCTTCAGTTGTTTCTTCCCCCTTGATCACCCTTAAAGTGTTTAAAATATCCTTCTTTTGACTAATCTTAGAATTGTTTCCCCCTTCCTTCTTATTCCTTAATACTTTCTCATTTTATTAAACCTATGCTTCTCTATTCTCACAATAAGTTGCACAATTTCCTTGTCTGAAGAGGATGATGAAATCCACCGCATCTGCTCTGATAGAAAGGTAGGACCCTCAGTTAAAGGGAAAAAAACCTTTCTGGTGTGCCAGGTGTGAGAGAAATCACCCTAGATCACAGTGCAGGTTCAAAGTAGCTATATGCCAAGGATGTGAGCGAAAAGGGCACATAGCAAGGGCCTGCCGGGCATCTCAGTCAGCTTCACGCCGGCAGAGACAACCTAATTCCCCTATGCAACCATATGTCTCACAACCGGGAGCCCGCAGATCCTGTTCATTAAGCACAAACGAGGGGATGACCAAGCCGCTGCTATGGGAGAAGAACATCAGACAATTGTTGGACATTCTGATGCATATCATTCAAAAAAGATCCATGTATCAGTCCAGATTGAAGCACTCCATGCGATATAGAGGTGGACACAGGATCTTACTTATCCATGATGCCCTGGAAGAACATAAAAAAGCAGCCTCAGAAATAACCAGACAGCAACTAAAACCTCAAAAGATACTTTTAAAAGACTACCAAGTAAACTGCATTCCAGTGCTAGGAAGCGGAGTTTTCAAAATTGCATTCAAGGACTTTGTGCATCATCAAATTGACCATCATGGTCAAGGATTTTCCCAGCCTGCTTGGGATGGAGTGGTTTGATGCCCTGGGGCTGGAAGTGACTGGCATCAATATTATCCAAGAAGATGACATCTAGGAGAAACTGCTGCAGGAGTTCCAGGACGTCTTCAGTGGGAGTCTAGGCAAGTATAAGGCGACCCCTATTTCTTTCAGCCTAGACCCCACTTCTGCCCCTGTCAGAATGAAGCCACGTAGGGTTCCTTTTGCTGAGCAATTAGATGAGCAATTAGACAAACTAATTGCCCAGGGGGGTTTGGAGCCGGTTGACCACACTAGGTGGGAGATACCTATAGTTACCCCAATCAAGCCAGATGGCTCAGTCTGCATATGCGCCGACTACAAATGCACCATAGATTGAGCATTACAACAAAGCGCCTACCCCATGCAGGTTGTACAGCAACCTGTTATATTCCCTGGGAAAAGGAAAAACTTGCAAAACTTGATCTAGCCCAGGCATATCAGCAGTTACCAGTAGATGATGCCACCACAGAAGCATAGACTATTTTAACTCACAGAGGAGCATTTAAGTGCCACTGGTTGCAATTCGCGGTGAGCATGGCTCCAGGACTTTTCCAAAAGATAATGGAATGGCTTCTAAAGGGCATTCTAGGGGTGGTACCTTACTTTAATGTCCTTGTGTCCGCCAGCAACAAAGAGCAATTAAGTCATCGGTTACAAATAGTATTAAGCAGATTTCAGGAAGCCGGACTTAAAGTTAAAAAAGAAAAATGCCAGATAGCCGTGCCCCAAGTTGAATTTCTGGGATATCTAATTGATGGGACGGGCATACACCCTACCAGCAGCAAATTAAAACCTATAAAGGAAGCCCCCACTCCAACAATTAAGACAGAACTTCAGGCATTCCTCGGCTTATTAAACTTTTACAGTATTTTTCTGCCACAGAAAGTGACCGTTGCTGAACCCTTATACAGACTACTTGATAAAAGGGCAGACTAGAAATGGGGATGAAACGAAACAGCCGTATTCACTGCCATAAAATAATTTTTAACTTCACATTGCATCCTTGTACAATACAATGAGACTTTGCCCCTCGTGTTAATCTGCAAAGCCTCCCCTTTTGGAATGGGGCGGTCCTTAGCCACCGGATACCAAATGGTAATGAAGCCCCAATTGCATTCTGTTCCAAAACATTTTCCAAAGCCGAACGGAACTACAGCCAGCTGGATAAGGAAGCGCTGGCTGCAGTGGCAGGGGTCAAGGGATTCCATGATTACTTTTATGGATGGGACTTTGAATTAATTGCAGGCTATAAGCCTCTCCTTGGTATCATAGCCAGGGACCGACCAACCCCAAACATTTTATCCCCAAGAATGACAAGATGGACTGTGTTCTTAGCTGCTTATCAGTAGCACCTCATCTATTGTCCAGGCAAAACCATTGACAATGAAGACACACTCAGCCACTGCCCACTTCCAGACCTTGTTGAGGACCCTACCCCAGCCACATCCATTCTCCTAATCAAAAACTCTGAGGACTTTGCGAGCGGCTCTATTACAGCAGCTAAGATTGCAAGATGGACAGACAATGACAGAACTTTGGCAACAACTTTAGATTAGATTAGAATTCTTTATTGGCCAAGTGTGATTGGACACATAAGGAATTTGTCTTGGTGCAAATGCTCTCAGTGTGTATAAAAGAAAAGATAGATTCATCAAGAATCATAAGGTACAACACTTAATAATTGTTATAGGATACAATAAGCAATCAAATCATATTAGAAAACAGTCGATATAGATCGTAAGGATACAAGCGACAAAGTTACAGTCATACAGTCACAGGTGGAAGGGGATGGGCAATAAGGAGTGATGAGAAGATTAATAGTAGTGCAGACTTTGTAAATAGTTGGACAGTGTTGAGGGAATTATTTGTTTAGCAGAGTGATGGCATTTGGGAAAAAACTGTCCTTGTGTCTAGTTGTTGTGGTGTGCAGTGCTCTATAGCGTCGTTTTGAGGGAAGAAGTTGAAAGAGTTTATGTCTGGGATGTGAGGGGTCTGTAAATATTTTCACAGACCTCTTTTTGACTTGGTGTGATTTTAAATTTAAGATTTTAAACTTGGTGTGGAGGGGAGGCAGGAGGGAACTGTGGAGAGTGAATTCAAACCATTCAAAACTCGCCAAATGGAATTGTCTGTACTAAGGGGGTGTTTGCTATGGGGGGACAGAGTTGTAATACCCCGACTATTAAAGGACTCGGTATTGGTAACATTGCATATGGGTGACCTGGGAATTGTTAGAATGAAGGCATTGGCCAGGAGTTATGTTTAGTGTCCGGGAATGGATAAGGAAATTAAAGGAATGGGTTGCAATATGCTGGCCATGCCAGGAATCCAGACCAGCACCACCCACAGCACCCATACACAAATGGGAAACCCCTAAGGCACCATGGTCCCATATACATGTAGACTTGGCAGGGCCAGTGCAGGGACAGACATTCTTAATAGTGGTAGATGCCTATTCCAAGTGGCTTGAGGTAGCTATCATAACCACTACCACGGCAGAAGCAATCATTAAGTATTGAAACTCATTTCCACACATGGCCTACCCAATGTTGTGGTATCAGACAATGGGCCCCAATTGACAGCAAATCAATTAGTTTCTTAGTGGGACAAGGAATCCACCATGCCCTCTCAGCACTGGCACACCCCTCGAGTAATGATCAAGCTGATAGGATGGTGTGATCAACCAAGGAAACATTGGCCAGAATGAGCCCCAGAGATTGTCAGGAAAAAATAGATAAACTATTACTAGTTCAACAAATCACCCCTAGTGCCACCACACATAGAAGCCCAGAGGAACTTTTAATGGGCCGGAAAATAAGATCCCAACTGGACAGGCTGAACCCAAACCAGTGGTGGTATTCAACCGGTAGCAAGAATTTGGCGTGGGTTGCCGAACCGGTAGTAAGTTCTGGCTGGCCACGCCCCCAATCCGGTCGCCCTCCCGCCTGATGCTCACTTACCCACCTGCCTGACATTCGCCTAAGGTATTTCTTTTTTTTTTCCCTTCCGACAATCAGCTGTGCATAGATCAGCTGTGCCGGGATTCCCCTTGCTGAGGCTCAGGAAGGCAAAAAATGGAGGGAGGAGCTCAGCCCCAGAGGAGCCTTAGGGGAGCAAAAACGCCCCCCCAGAGGCTCTTTGAGGCTAGGAAGCTCCCAAAACGGAGCTTGGAGGGGTGCTGCACGCCCCTCCTATGCTCTGTTTTTTCCTTCCTGAGCCTCAGAGGAGACTTAGGGGAGCAAAAATGGCTCCTCTGAGGCTAGAAAGCTCCCAAAAATGGGTGGGGGGAAAAAACAACAAAAAAAAAAAAGCCACACCCACCCAGTCACATGGCCACACCCACCAAGCCATGCCCACAGAACCGG